CAGACACCACACCCCTCCCGGGGGCAGGGAGAGAACCCAGGAGTCCTGGCTCTCAGACCCGCTGCTCTAACCAATAGATCCCCCCCCAGCGCCTTCGCCCCCACTACACCCCACACACACCCGGGCCAGGGATAGAACCTAGGAGTCCTGGCTCCCCGCCCCTCCGAACCAGGAACAGAACCCAGGAGTCCGGGCTCCCAGCCCCTAATACTCACTAGACCCCACTAGTCCCTAGCACATGCGCCGCAATGAGCAGCAAGGTGGATTGACTCTTGCCCTGCCCCAGTGCACTCTGGGAGCTGTAGTTACTAGTTTCCCTTGGACCAGCCTTTCTATTGGCCTAACTGGGTAATTGGACTACAACACCCATGATGCAACGCGCACCCAGCTGGTCTGGGAGCAAAGCACTATGGGAATCAGACACGGTTACAGTACCATCGGACTACATCTCCCATGAGGCTGTGCACCCAGTATGGCGAGCGGGGCAGCATGGGAGTTGTAGTCACTCGTTCACTGGACTAAATTTCCCGTGATGCAGCAAGCGCTGGCAGCAGTGCACTATGGGAGCTGTAGTCTTCCAGCTAGCTTGCATGGCAATAAGGACTTCAGATCCCCACCATGCATGGGGAGGCATTAATAATAGTGGGGTGTAGTTGGTTTGAGAAGGGGAGGGAGAGGGGGAGTCAGGACTCCTGGGTTCTATGCAGGGAGTGGGGTCTGGTGGTTAGAGCGGGGGATGACGACTGGGAGCCAGGACTCCTGGGTTCCATCCCCGGCACTGGAAGTGGAGTGGAATTCTGCCTACACTCCACATCCTGAAGCTAAAGGGGTCTGTGGATGCCAGATCCAGGGAACAATAATGGGTTAAACAATCATTTTCCCTTTCCCCGCCCCCCATAAGTGGCTCAATCCAGGGCCGCCTGGCCAGATGTTCCTCACTGCTGCATCCCGCGGCTCTAAGGGTTTCCCTGCCTTTGTGCCTAATCCCATTGCATAAGCGGCTGGGATTTTCTCTGAGCCCTTTATCCGGAGCTGGGATGGGAGGGTGGCAGAGGCACCGTCCCCTGCCACCGCCCCTCTGGTTAGATCCACGCCCTGACTCTTTTCAAGTAGATCCCTCCCAGCAGGCTGCCATAAATCCCTAGCTGGAGTCAGGGCTGCCCCGCTGTCTGTGCTCGGTGCTGCACGGGGAAGGGTGCGGGGCTCTGCCCTGGCAGTCAGGACTGCCCCTGATGTCCCAGCACAGCTCAAGGGGGTGCTGTGCTGCAGGGAGGGGTGGGGGGGCTCTCCCCTGGCAGCTGCCTGGCCCTGGTTCATTATTCAGTTTTGCCACAGGCTGCTTTTGTGACCTTAGGAGAGTCACTGCATCTCTTGGGGCCATAGTTTGCCTGTCAGTACAATGGGCACCATAATCATCCCTTTCTATGGAGATTGTGACATCTAGGGCCAGGGATTGGCTCTGGGCAGTGCCTGGCACGACGGGGCCCTGATCTCAGCTGGGGCAGGGACTGTCTCTCGCTGTGTCTGGGCAGCGCCCAGCATGACGGGGCCCTGATCTCAGCTGGGGCAGGGGCTGTGTCTTGCTGTGTCTGGGCAAGGTCCGGCCCACTGGCATCTCATCTGCAGCCTCTAGCTGCTCCCAGAACCCAAGTCCCCAGGATGCCGATGCCCCAGCTGGGTCGCCCCACTGCAGCTTCACACGGGCGCTACAGGGCTGGCGGCTAGTATTGGACTTTCCCAACCGGCCAGAGGTCTGAGGCTAGGCCCCGCGTTGCCGTCTCTGCATCCGGCGTCCCCGCCGCTGCGCCACACGCCCTGGCTGGTGTCCTCAGCCTCGCTTCCCGCTGCCGTCAGCTCCTAAGTGGATCACATGCAGCCTGAGAGCCGAAGGCTGATGCCACGCAGGGTGACCTTGCTGACGGGGCTCTTCCTCCCCATCATAGCCACATTGGCCACTGGGGGGCAGCCTTGGGTTGCCATTTGAATCAGCTCACCTAGCCTAGATTTGAAGAGGAAAATAATAGGACAGCTGGGTTGTGGTCTAGTGGTTAGAGCAGGGCAGCAGGGCACCAGGACTCCTGGGTTCTAGCCCCACTTGTGGGAAGGCAGTGGGGTCTAGTGGTTAGAGCAGGAGGGCTTTGCTAACCCCAGCCTGTGTTCTCCCTCCCAGAGAAGGTGCCCGTGTCAGGGGGAAGGTCCAGCTATGCTGGGTTACTCAGGAATTTCACACACAGGAGGAATTGCTGCTACTTCCCCTTCGAAGGGAAAGTAAATGGATGTTGCAGGCAGTGAAAGCAAGTGCCGGTGGGTAAGGAGGAGGGGGTTGTGGGGGATGGATGTGTGGGGAGCAGCAGAGGGGGTTTTCAGAGATCTAGCTTATAAGCCCCACTATCACTCCCATCCTCCAGAAGCCCTTTGCCTACTGTGACTCAGTTTCCCTTCTATCATACATGGGTAGTAGATCTGAGCTATGGTGCTTTGTCTACCCCACCCCTGCCTCCCCTTCTCTATCACCTCAACCACCAGCTGCTTGTCTTATCTTCCAAGGCTGTTCCTGGCCTGTTGTGTGCCCCCACCCTCAAGGAGCTGTCACCCCCTTCTCTGCTGCCAGCCTTCATCACCTCCTAGTTACATTTTTAAAACCAGACCCCCAATGTAGGCCTTAGGCCAGCCCCACAGCCACATTATCTGGGTGCATAGGTTGCCATACCCACAGTGGGTCACTCCTGGGTCAGTGTTTCTTTGGAGCAGCTGTAGTTTCCTTATATAGTTAGATTATAGGATTGCGTTTTTGTACTGAGCGGATCAGTAACTGTTTCCTATCTTTTAACCCCAACCTAGGAATAAACGGTCAGTTTTCACCATCCCAGGAAATAAATAGTGGTGAACGGTGGGGATCTGTACAGGGACCAGTGCTGTTCAACGTATTCCCAGCTGACTGGGAAAAGGGGTAAAGACTGAGGTGTCAAAGTCTGCAAGCAATACAGTTACTCAGGCTGGGGAAGTCCAAAGTTGCTGTTGAAGAGTTACAAAGGGACAGCGCTGCACTAGGTAACACCAGGGTAAGTGAAATTCAATGTTGATAAATGCAAAGGAAGGCACAGGGGAAAACAATCCCCCTGCTGCCTACAAAATGATGGAGCCTCACTTGCTGTCACTGCTCATGAAAGGTCAGGTAGGCATTGTGGATAGTCCCCTGAGGGCAGCAGCTGTCAGAAAGCTAACAAGTGTTAGGAACCCTTAGGAAAGGAAGAGACAGTCAGACAGAAAATATACCCCCACTGTCTAAATCCATGGTACCTTGAATACTTGGTGCAGTTCTGTGCCCCACCTCAGAACAAAAATTAGAAGTAGAAAAAGCTGCCGAGAAGGGCAACAAAAATGATCTGAGATCTGGAACAGCTTGTGTGTGTGCAGAGATTGAAAACACTTGGACTGCTCAGCTTAGAGCCAAGGTGACTGAGGGGGAAAATGACAATCTATGAAATCATGAACAGTGTGGAGAAGAGTTATGGGCGGGGACAACACTAAGAACTTGGGGTCACTATGAAGAGAGCAGGCAGCAGGTGTAAGACAAGCATAAATACTTCCTTCACCCAACAGCCAGCCAGCCTGGGGAACTCACTGCCAGGGGGATGCTGGGAAGGCCAAAATTATAACTGGGTTCAAAAGAGAACTAGGGCCATCGATGGCTCTTAGCCAAGATGGTCCAGGACAAAACCTCATGCTCTACGTGTCCCTAAAGCTCATGGCCAGCAGCCAGGACTGGATCACTCTGGAACGGCCTTGTTCTGTTCATTCCCTAGGAAGCCTCTGCTCTGGCCCTTGGCAGAGAACAGGATACTGGGCTGGATGGACCATTGGTCTTCCTACGCATGGTCATACGGGGTATTGAAGTGCTTACTACAGTGAGGTCCTGGGACCAGGCTGGGGTTGCTAGAGTAGAATTCCTCTGCAGCTGCCAGGAAAGGCGGAGATATCAAGACTCTAGGGTTGCACATCTGGGCTGCTGTTTTCCAAAGGCGCTGCAGGTTGTGATCCAGGGGGCACAGGCCGACTATTGGCCCTTTTACGCTTTGGGAACAGCGCCTCGGCTACACCCGACACTACAGCTTAGAAGCAGGGGGTGTTTTCTGGGCAAGCACTGGCATTTCAGCATGTGGGTGCCCCAGCCTCTGGAGGGGACATGCTAGGAAAGCACACACCAAGCGCAAGGGGCCCAGCTGCTGTCAAGACCCAGCATCCTGCTTTAGGCCAGAATGGCCCTTGGCCAAGATGGTGACATGCCAAGCTAGACATAATGGAGACCTTGATGGAGAATCTGCAACAGCTTGTTGACTGTTGCCAAGCAACGAGACAAGGCCCTGAATGGCTCCATTCAGAGATCAGGTGTGGACAAGTCCCTGCCCTGGCTGTGGGGAGGTAGGGACTGCCGGCCTCCAGGCTCTAGAAGGAGGTAATAGTGCAGCCTTCAGGTGCTTCATAATCAGCAATGCTTTAATTTCTCCACCCCACCATGGTAGGACACCCTTGGCCCTAGCCACCAAGATCTGGTCCAACCCCTTGCACAGAGGAAAGACCAGACAGCAGCTGTCAATACAGATCCCAGTCCTGTGGACCATTGGTTGTCTACAGGCAGGTGACAAACATTCAGCAGAGAAACAAGCAATTAGAGGTGGTCCCCATGAAAAACCTGCAGCTATGTGGTTTGCAGATCAAGACCCTGCTAGAGCCTCTTCAGGACCTACTTTGTGCTTAAGGCACCATCTGGGCCTTGCCTCAGTTTCCCCTCCTCCTCTTGTATTTAGGCTTGGCTCTTTGGGGCAGGGATCATGTGTGCAGCACCTGGCACTATTGCACTGTTTGAGATGAGGTGCTACTACACTACATTTGCAGTCCTTGAGGACTACACCAATAGTCTAGCTCTGAAGCCATGATCACATTTGGGCCCAGGCTTCAAAAACAGGTGGGAATAAAGGATCTGGACAATTTCACCCACATTTCCGCAACTTTAAGTGGCTTTTATTTCCAACACTTATGAAATCTCAATGACACTACCGCCACAGACCACTACTAACCCAGGGCTAGACTCCTTCCCCTGGGGGAGGTGTTGGTGCAGTTTTCTGGTTAGGCGCACGCAGGCCACTGTGAGAGCAGGATTCACACACGCACACGGACACGCACAAAGGTTTACGGGGACAGACGAGGCGCAGCGTTTGGGGCCGTGTGGTTGAAGCATTAAGATAGGATGGATCTCGTGGCCAAATATGTCTAGAGGGGGGTGAGGCGGATTCTTCAGATGGCCTGGAATGTATGTGGGACAGGCGCTCAGTTCTCCTTGGTGTACATGTGACTCAGGAGGTCTGCAACGCGGTTACTGTAGCCATATTCGTTGTCATACCTACGGGAAGAGAAGAGGGACAAGTTCAGCTCTCAGCCACCTCACACACCAAGTGGACATCTCTGACCACAAAGGAGACCCTCCCAACTGCATGTTCCCACACGACCTCTAGGGGGCTCCTGGTTTCCCATCCCTATTGCCTCAGCCACATGCCACTGCCTATAGGCCTCTGGACCAATTGAGGATGGTTAGAAGGTGGCAGAGGACCTTGTGCTTAAGGCACTGACTGGGACTCAGGAGATCTGGGTTTGTTCCTCAGTCTTCCTGTGTGATCTCTGGCATATCCCCTGTTCTCCCACCTGGAGCTTAGCTCCAGGGCCAGTGACCTCACTAGATCTGGACTGAGACCTTCAGATTTAGCCAGTCGTTCACCCAAAGGTCTTCAGTTGGGTTACGGGGCCCTTTGTGCATGGGACTAGGCTAAGGTGCTCCAAGCATACTCTACAGCTGGGGGGAACCTAGACGCCTCATGCCAGGCAAGTGAGATGCAAAATAGAACCTGCTGGTTCTTGACCCACTCTGGAGAGTGGTCACTGGACTCCTAGAAGGCTGGGGTGGAGGAGTCCAGCATACTCAAGAGAGGCTGGTTTTCAAACCCCTCCCTCTGCCAGGCCTTACCAGGAAATGAGCTTCACAAAGTTATCATTGAGGGAGATCCCAGCTCCAGCGTCGAAGATGGAGGAATGGCTGTCGCCGATGAAATCAGAAGAGACCACCTGCAAGTGAGGGGGGCATGCATCAGGATTGGCTATTGGGGGCATTTGGCTTTAGTTAGAGATATGCAGGAGCAGGGGGAGGAATGTGTAGGGGCCAGTTCAGTAGGAGGCCTGCCTCCCTTGGCCAGAGGTCCCCAGAAGCAACTTCCATTGCACCATAGGCTACACATCAAGATTTAACAGGGCTGAAGGCCGAGACTATTAGATTAGTCTTACCATTGGTCTAGCACAGGCCACAGAATGTCATCGTTACCCCCATACTCAACCCAAGGACTTCAGACAGACTACAGCATTTCAGTCCTCAGGAGACAGCTGTTACATGCCATCAGCAGAGAATAGGAGAGACTGAGATGCCACCAATGCCTGAGGTCCCATCCATGGCAGGGAATTGGGTTGACAAGACCTGCCCAGATGATCTATGCCCCATGCTGGGGAGGAAGGTGAAAAATGTAAGTCCCTGCCAATTTGATGGGGTTGGGGGAAGGGGAAGATTCCTTCCTGACCCCAAATGCAGTCATCAGTTTGACCCCAAGCATGTGAAGATGCCAGGCAGGCATTCAAAAGGGATTCTCTGGCCCACCAGCCTGGAGTCCCAGCTGATGTTTCAGAGGAAATGAGAAGGCCCAGATTACATCCAAAAATTCCTTCTTGATCCCTTCATGCAACCAGCTAAAGCACTGAATGGCGAATCCCCAGAAGGCCTAGAAGAATCAGTAGCAACACGCCAGGCCAATGCGTACCAGCGTGCTGCCCCCGTGAGCAGGCCCTCTACAGCTCTGTGGATACAGAGCTGGCGTTTGTTATGTGCTCCCCTCCACTTGGACCCAACCTGAAGCAACGCTTGATGTCATCTGTGGCCAGCGCTTTCCCTACCAAGGAGGTTCTGCCAGCTCTGCTAACATCCCACTGCTTCATTAGCATGGCTCATCTTCAGTGCCCTTCAGACTAGGCAACTGGCTGATGTGCTGCATGTGGGCACCAGTTGAGACAGGAAGTGAACCTATACTGAGATCTGCAGAGGGAGGGTAACGAGCTCAGCAAGCAGGAGTCTGGCTAGGGTATTGGGGTCACCCCCACCCCTGTTCAGGTCTCACCATGGGTTAGTTACTCCAAGCAGCCAGGGTCTGTTGCACCTAATCACAGACCACCTTCAGGAGAAGGATGCTCAGTGGTTAGAGGGATTGGCCTGGCTTCAACTCCCAGCTGGGCCAGACACTATGTATCTCAGTTTCCCATCTGTAAGATGGACAAAAGCTCTTTCATACTTCAGGGGTGCTGCAAGAAGAAATGTGTGGAAGTTGGTGAGGTGCCCAGACACTATGGAGATGGGCCCGATAGGTCCTTCTGCTTCAGTAACACTCTGCACAGCACTACTCTGGTGTATCCATCAGCACTAACTCACTCCCACTTCTGGCATCAGAGCACCCCCTAGCAAGGCATGGGGGTCAGCATGGGTAACGGCTCAGATCTCAGCATGTCACCCATGCTGCTTTGGCCTCCCCACCCTGAGCCCAACCTTGCTGCCAGCACTCAAGATGGCTGCTCCCATTCCCTGCTCACCTCATCTTCTGTGTACCCCAGGATCCCAGCCATGGGGCCCTCGGAAGCCTTCTTCATGGCCTCTTTGATTTCAGCATAGGTCGCCGGCTTGGCAAGGCGGCAGGTTAGGTCCACGACGGAGACGTCAGAGACAGGCACACGGAACGCCATGCCGGTGAGCTTCCTGTGAGGAGGGAAGTTCAGCCAATGAGAGAACCAGCTAGGACGGCCTGTGAGCAAGACATTGACGCTCTAGAAAACTAGTCTGTGGTTCCGGCATTGGACCCCCAAAGGGAGACCCCCAGACCCTCCCAACAGAGATGTGGTGTTTTGCTTAGCGAACACTGCTAGCTTGTCAGCCACCATGAATGGTACAAGCTTCTACACAGATGTGGTTTGCCCATCCCCATGGCCACCTCTAGGAGCCAGAGTTTCTCTCCCAGCCACCATCCGGCCTGTGGGATGTTGCCCAGCCACCTGGGGCAGGATTGCTACTGGGAGGCCTAGGCCAGAGACCTCTCCTGCTGCCTGCTCTGAGTCATGGCCCATACCCGTTCAGCTCTGGGATGACCTTGCCAACTGCTTTGGCAGCACCAGTGGATGCTGGGATGATGTTCTGGTGGGCGCCCCTTCCGTCGCGCCAGGCCTTGGCAGAGGGTCCATCCACAGTTTTCTGTGTGGCAGTGTAGGCATGCACTGTGGTCTGAAGGTCGAGAGGAGAAGCATGGTTATGAGCTGGTAGAAGCTAGACAGACAGTCACCTGTTCCTGCACACAGGCGAGCTGCTGGGGGTTGACAGCACACAGCAGACTTACCATGAGTCCTTCCACAATGCCAAAGTTGTCATGGATCACCTTGGCCAGAGGCGCCAGGCAGTTGGTGGTGCAGGAGGCATTGCTACATGGGGAGGGAAGGGAGACAGATTGATGTCTAGGAAACACCTGCTACTGGAGGAGTGCCAGTAGCCTGCCTAGCCGAGTTCCCATTCCCATCACCACCTCCATTTCTCCCTGGTGTAGGGGAGACTATAGAAACCATGCTAATTAGGATAGTCTTTGCTCACATGTCAGGGTGGAAGCCCACCTGCCCTCCTCTTGAGGGGACAATCTTCCAGCACAAGCTGTCTATAGGCCTCTTGCTTCCCAACTGTATGGCACAAGTGGCTAAATTCTTGTCACAGGCCCTTTCCTCAGGCACATGTCCCCAAAATGGAGGCTCTCAAACATCCCTCTGACCCTGAAGGGCAGATCCATACCCTCATCTCTCCTTGGCCACGTACAAGGCAGCCAAACTCAGGAGATCACTCCAAGCCAGTCTGGGGAGCAACTCAGAAAGCTGTCCCATCCCACTATCAAACTCCCTCCCCCCCACCCCCACCCCACCCCCGAGATGTGGGGGGGGAGGCAGGCCTTACCTGACAATTGTCATGCTGGATGGGTCATACTTGTCCTCATTGACACCCATGACGAACATGGGAGCATCGGGGGAGGGGGCGCTCACCACCACTCGCTTGGCTCCGCCTTGTATATGGGCCTGTGGAAGAGGAGGCTAATCATGGAGGATCCTGCTATGCAGAAGGCCAGGCCAACATCACCTAGGTCTGCTAGTGCCCAACTCCTCCAGATGTTGATGGAGGACTCCATCACACCAAGGTCTTGGATGAAGGCTGCCCAGGAGAATGGCATCCCAGGCAGAGCCAGGCTGTCCTAGCCCTGTAGTGGCTCCGCTCGTTAGCCACAGGTTCTCATGGAATTCCCAGTCAAGGATGACAAGCAGGTGTCTGAGCCCCACACACCAGTCAGACATGGGCCCTGTAGCTCCTGTACCCAGCTAGGTAGCTCAGACACTCACCGAAGCTTTGTCAATGCTGAGGAAGACTCCGGTGGACTCGACAACGTAGAGAGCTCCTGCGTCACCCCAGGGAATCTCACTGGGCTTCATGCTGTAACAGACAGCAGACCAGGGTTACTGCCCCAAGGGCTGGCTACTTCCAGGTCAATGCACATGTTCAAGCCCAGATGAGGACTCAGTCCCAATTCCATACAGCTTGAGGGAGTGGTGTGGGACCCCCAGCCTCCAAGGACCCTGATACACCAGCCCCATGGCACCCAACTCTTCCTTTGACAATCTGTCATTTCTAGGGTGACCTAGAGATACTGCTGAGTGGAGACACATCAGCAATCTGGAGGAAGGCTGGTCTTCTGATTTTAAGGCACTGGACAGAGATTCAAGATCTAGATTCAACTGCCAGCTCCACCAGACTCCCTGAGCAGCCAGGCACTAGATCTGTGACTCAGTACAAATTTACAGGGTTTGGGGGGGGGGGGGGCGGGGGGAACTATTTCCCCTTGCTCACAGGGGACTGGGGAAAAAAAGCTCATTAGTACTTGGGAGGCAGACACCACAATGATGGGCTGCACACAAGTACCTAGAGATCACTGCATAGCTCTGTCAGGTCCACTCACCATCCCTTCATTCGCACTAGCATGATCCTTCAGAGGTCCAGACCCCTGGCTCTTACCCACTAGATGCTAGGCTCTCATCTCCTAAATTGAGCTGGATTCGGAGGGGACTTCTCATCTAGTCTGGCCTGTGTAACAGGCCAGAGAATTTCACCCTGTACTGAGACCAATCACTTTTGATTTGGCGTGAAGCCAGACTGACGTGTCCAGCTAGCCATGCTCTCAGCTCAACCCGACGGGCTTCAGAGTCGGGGAGGTGCCTCCGTCTTGAAGTGAAGCAGGCAGGTCTAGTGATGCAGGAGGCAGACTAGGACATCTGGGCTCTGCTAGACTGGCACGAGTCTCAAGTAGCTATATGGGAAAGCGGTTATTTCTCTAGACAGTGCTGAAGGACGCGGTGTCCAGGAGTTGCTGTCTGTACACTGCAATGCTACCACCTCTGAAGTGGCACATGGCAGCTGATTGAATGCCAATGCTAGCTTCCTGTCCTAGACTATGTACAGGAAGTTACTACAGCCAGCTGAAACTGTGGGAAGGAGTTTTAGCCTAAGTCAGAACGCTGGAGTGATGCCACCATGGTGCAGAAAGGCTGTCAGGAAGCAATGCTCAGAGCCTCAGTTTCTCCAGCTAGCCAACAGAAGACAGCCCTCCAGCAATTTGGCAACCATTAGCACTGATCCACTGTCGAAGGAGCATCAATTCCTGCAGCACCATGCACAAGGCTCAGAAGTCTCCCCTCCCAGTGTTGAGCAGACTGGCCCCGCTTAGCTGGCAAGATCCCAAGCACTATGCCAGTGATGAGGTGCCAGTCCGCACCCTGTGCTACACAAGAACGGCCAGACTGGGTCAGACCAAAAGGTCCAGTATCCTGTCTGCCGACAGTGGTCGGTGCCAGATGCCCCAGAGGGAATGAACAGAACAGGTAATCAAGTGATCCATCCTGGTGAACAGAGGATAGGGACACCATCCCCGCCCATGCTGGCTAGCAGCCGCCATTGATGGGTCATGGAGGGTAGGTCCATTCAGCTCCCCCTACTCACCACTGGAACACCGAGATCTCACTGCCGTCCACCACCAGCTTGCCATCTTCAGCCTTCACCTCGCCGCTGTAGCGCCCGTGAGTGGAGTCATACTTGAACATGTACACCTGAGAGGGGAGAGCGCGTCAGCCTAGCAGCCCAAGCCTTTGTGGAGTTACCCTAGGCAACTGCGGTCATTCAGCAGGGGAATCTCCCTAACAGATCAACTCCGCTTCCAGCAACTGCAAAGGGTTAAGCCGATGACCAGTTCTCTTCAAGATGGGGACGGATCAGCAGCAAACCTCTGGCTGTGCGGTAGAGCAGTGAGCATTAAGACTATCCTCCAAGTAGATCCAGAGGAGGATACCGAATGAGGGGGCATCAGCCCAGAGGGCAGAAGAGCCGAGCTCCCTGAAAGCTAAGGGGTCTGGGGCCTTTAGAGTCCTAGCACTGAGCAATCAAACCCAACAGTGACGGCAGGATGGGGCCTAGACAAAGCTGGGCGTCAGATGCAACGGCTCCTTCGCAGCCAGCAGTTGCTGTATATGCAAGGGCAAGAGAAAAAACCCCAAGTCTCCCAGCCAGCTTCCAAACTACAGGAGCTGGCTTGGACTGGAACACAAGGATCAAGTCCCAGGTGAGGCAGCTCAAAGGAAAGTTGGCCATGGCTGTGTGACCATGTGCACCCCATATTCACTATATGGGGATAGAATTATGGCATGTTTTGTACAACGTCTGCCTTGTGAGGCATCAGTTTAAAAGGCTTGATCTGTTGAACATTAGTACCCTGTTGGATTGGAGGTGCCGTCCTTGTATGGGGAGCTATGAAGCTCTGCTCTGTTGTGAAGTTGGAAGCACCCACACAGGCTTTCAGGTACAACAATGAAGAAGCTAGACAGTGCTAATGGCCCCATTAAAGGGAATCCACACGCCCAGGGATTATCTCAGGAATTGTTTACAACCGGAGGCTTCCCAGAGGGAATGGAGGATGCTGGGGGTGGAGGGAGGAGGGACACAGACCCTCACATCATGAGCAAAGGTCTTTCTAGCAAACTGAAAGAAGCTATAAGAGGGGAAGTGACATCACCACTTTGCCTGGCTTCCCCTACAACACAACACCCGAGGAACAGAGACTGAACTGGGGAAAGGGGTCCCAAGCAGGACAGAAGAATTCCAGCCTGTGTAACAGGGCGAGACACTCCTTGATTCAAATCCTATCTAGTTTACTAAAGCTTAGATTGCGTTTTGTTTTATTTCATAGGTAATCGGCTTTGATCCGTACGCTCACTAAAATCTTTCTGTAGTTAATAAATCTGTTTTATATTTTTTACCTAGCAAAACACCCTGTTTTAGAAGTGTTTGGGGAATCTGCTCAGGAACAAAAAATGGTGCATTGTCCTCTCCACGTTGAGAGAGGGGCAGACTGGGTAATAAACTTATACCGGTCAGGCTTCTGACTAGGCCAAGACAGTACAGCTCTGGGGTCCTAGGCTGTGGAGCTGGGGGAAGCTGGCTGGAGCCTTTACTGTTAGTTCATGAGTGGCTGAGGAGAAGCATTCATGTAACTGCATCTGGGTGTGTCCCTACCTGTGTAGATGTCTGTGTCAGTGCAGCACTGGGAAAGATCTGCAGCTTGGTACAGTCTCAGTGTGAGAGGGGACCCAGACTGGTATGTCAGAGGGCCCAGCGGTATCCCAGTTCCAGGCTGCACTCAAGGGAAGCCAGTCACAGGCTGAACGAGGCCCCTAGGTCCTCAGCTCCCATCACACACTGATGTGCCAGCTGGCCCATCCCACCCATGCTGCAATCACTATCTACATAGGGTTGAGGTTGGAGATTCTCAGTGTCCCTGGACAACTAACTGTGGGAGTCTGAGTTTCTGAGACATGCAGAAGAGTATCGTAGGCAGGATAGTTTGGCCATTGGATTGAGGGGCGGTGAAGTTACCATGTAGTTGAGGTCAATGAAGGGGTCATTGATGGCCACCACTTTGAGTCCCTTCTCCAGGCAGGCTCGGAGGACCAGACGCCCAATACGGCCAAATCTGGAACAGGAATGTTAGTAGTTAGATCGATTCCTGTAGCCATACTCCTATCCAGGGAGCTAGTCATGAAGGGACATCTCTTCCATGCTGGCCTTTGAGCTTCCTTAGCCATTAAGAGCCCCCCACCACACACACATACTCGCTGCGCAGCCAATGGGAGCTCAGTCAGTGGGGCTTCCCCACAACTGTCCAATCACTAGGACATTAAGCTACCCCTTTAGCTTTGCATTTTAGTGGTGTCCCCTAGCTCTGATCTGGTAGTAGCACAAGCCAGCCGCCCTAACCACCTTGGAACAAGTTCCTCCATGAACTCCCCCTGACATCAATCCGGCAGCTGCAGAGGAGTTAAATGCTTCAAGATGACAGCCTGGTGACCCCTGAAGTCACCTCTGACTAAAAGCAAGAACTGCATCTTTGGGCTCAGTCATTCAACACCACTACTGCTATGAATAAGCCGGGCTCTTCCTTGAAATTAAGATGGCTGCCAGTAAATGTGGTTGTGGTGACACCAAAGGGGCAAAGAGCCAGGTGCTATTTGGACTACAGGGTGCGTTCCCAGCCACTGGAGCTACAGGGAGTCACCGAGTGACTTGCAAAATGAGTGGAAGCGCCGCAAGGTTGATTTTACCATAGCTGCCTGTTACGGCCACCACTTCTTACTACACGCAGCAGAACTTTCCACTCTGCTGCGCTGGGCAGCCTCACGTGTGCCACGGTAGCAGAGGGCTACAACTCCTGCCCTGTGGGCAGCACAAGGGGGAGTTTGGGGCCTTACCCATTAATTCCAACAGTGAGCTCAGCCATGACTGGTTCTACTGGTTTCTCTACTGGAGCCGGTTCCTCAACTTTCTCTGGTGCTTTCTCCGGAACGGACGGTTTTCGGGACTGGGAGACCTCAAGTCTGGAAGGAAAAGGGGGAATCAGAGCAGAGGCTGGGGCAGATGCCAGTATAAAGATAACAGCAGACAGGCCTTTTTGCAAGGGAAAACCACAGCTCCTTTAGAGCAACTGGGAACATGGGATTTGCCCAACTACATCAGTCCAGTGGGTCCATCCAGACCAGTATCCCAGTTCCCACCATGGCCTGTCCGAATTTCATTAGAGGAAGGTGCAAGAAAGGTCCCCCTCGAGGGCAGTGATGGAATAGCCTGCCCATGGCAGGAAGTGTCTTCCTGATCTCCTTTAGCGGTTGAGGCTTATGCCCTGAAGTCTGAGGGTTTACATCCCTTCCAAAAGCCTATTTTCAGAGGGTTTCTTAACTCTGGCTATTCTACGCCCTCTCAGCTCTCGGTCAAAGTGACCTCTTGTGGCACTGAGTTCCGCAGGCCAGAAGCATGGAACAAAAACATCTGATCAGTTCTAAGGGTGCTGCCTGTCACTCCCCTTGTTTGCATAGGGGAGAAGGTGAATGGCAGCACCCAAAAGGGACAGTCCCAACACTTTCATTTTCATTACCCATCTCATGGTCCCTCTATTTCTGCTCTAACCTTTGAGATCCGAGTGATCCAGTCAAGGGCACCTAACTAACAATGCTGCTACACAAACTATTTTACAGTAGTGCCTTGGGCGGATCCAAAAACAGGGCCCCATTGTGCTACGCACCATAAGAGCGGCAATCTGTGTGCCCTGAAGACCTTGGTTTCAGCAAAATTCAATGTGCTCTATCCCATTCCTTACACACTAACACCATTTGCTTTCCAGGGGCTACTGCACATTGAGCAGGAGTCTTGAGGCTTGTCCAGACAGGGGTAGTGGGTTCAGAGTAACGTAGGGTGTGAATTTAAAGAACGGGAACTATTCCAGAAATGTCCCCCCAGGGAGCCAATTCCAGAGTAGCTTCACAGAGAGATAATCCAGACTAGCTTCTGCAGAACAGCTCCTTGTCAGTTTCCCCCTGTTGATGAATCCACAATGAGGCCCGGGACTATAAATAAAGTGACATTGTAGTCAAGATGCTGCCTCCTTTGTGTCGATCAGACCCGGCTATCAGCCCTCCCCAGTAAGGTAAAGTTACACTAGTCAGCCTGCAGGTACAGCCGGGAAGCGTGAGCTGGATTCTACGCTGACTCGTGCACCAGAGTTTTTAACGAAGCCCCAGTGGAGGAGTCTGTTGCATTGGACAAGGAGACGCTTGCTTTACTCTGGGCATAGCTACACTGCAATCAGAGGTGTGACCGCAGCATGCGCAGGCCTACCTGATCTAGCTAGCGTGATGAACAGCAGCCGCAAAGCTGACGCAGCACAGACTAGCCACTCGAGTCCATACACAGGATCCCAGCTCATGCTGAGGTTTCACTGCTGTTATTTCAGCTAGCCAGATCAATGCTTAGGGCCCTACCAAATTCACAGCCATGAAAAACACGTCACGGACCATGAAATCTGGTCTTGCGTGCTTTTACCCTATACTATAGGGATTTCACAGGGAAGACCAGCGTGTCTAGAATTGGGGATCCTGACCCAAAATGGAGTTGTGGGGGAGATCACAGTATTGCCACCCTTACTTCTGCACTGCCTTCAGAGTTAGGCAGCTAGAGAGCAGTGGCTGTTGGCCAGGTGCCCAGGTCTGAAGGCAGTGCCCTGCCAGCAGCAGCACAGAAGTAAGAGTGGCAATACCACACCATGCCACCCTTACTTCAGTGCTGCTGCCTGCAGAGCTAGGCAGCCGGAGAATGGCGGTTGCTGACTGAGGGCCCGGCTCTGCAGGGAGCAGCACTGAAATAAGGGTAGCACAAACCCCTCCCTACAATAACCTTGTGACCCTCCCCCCCAGCTCCTTTTTGGGTCAGGATCCCTACAATTAGAACACTGAAATTTCAGATTTAAATAGCTGAAATCATTAAATTTAGGACTTTTAAACCCTATAATATGAAACTGACCAAAATGGACCGTGAATTTGGTAGGGCCCTATCAATGCTGTATGCACCACAGTCACACCTCTGAGTGCTGTATAGACATACCCAGATGGGACAGAGACTGAGGCCCATGCTTCAAGGGCTTAGATGCTACCAGAATACATAGAATATCGTCTACCGAATAGCCCTGCAAATTTACCCTGGGATCTGATCTCCTGGGATCAAGTCATCTGCAAGATTAAAGTGCAGATCTGCTCTGCGTTTTGAAGGTCACTATCTGCTCCTACCAAGGCTGATCAAATCTTAGTTTAAAAGGGAAGCTGCAGTTATTTGCTCATCACTACACGCAGCTATAAAGGAGAGCAAGTCCCCAGAAATATACAGTCTCATAAGGCCAGAGTAAGGCCCACATGTATTTAAGTTCCCACTAAGATTCACTTAAATCAGAGCTTACCTGAAAACTTTGACACTAACAGATGATCCAACTGACTCCTGGCTCAACGGAGAGTTACAACGCTGCAGCATTTTGCTGGCTGCCCTAGCTACTGACTGGAGATACTGAAAACAGCGAGTTCAAGACACTTTTTAAAACTGATCTTTAACGTAATCACTGGCTATACTGAGCTCTATGTTGCTATAACAGTTAGTGCAGGGTCTCTTTCAGAGAAAGGACCCAGACAGTGAAGTCATTCTTACTTTCAGTTGCTTTGACCTTGGTTTAGTCCCATCATGGGGACACTAGCCCTGATCCTGCACAGCACTTGGGCCCCCCGTCTCCTGCAACGGCTACTCACGTGTTTATGTGCATGAAGCACATTCAGATGGAGCCTCCAGAGATGGGCTACTGGGCCTACATGCCATGATTTCAGGGGAGGCCTCTGTTTTGTCAGGGCAAAGTCAGCCCAGCAGAGGATTGCAGGCAGAGGCTAGGCAGGGGAAGGGCTTGTGGGCTGAGCGCAGGCCTAGACCTAGAATGCCAACGTGACTGTAATTGACCCTGATCAAGTCAATTTCACCTCTAAGGGCTCAAGTCCTTCCCATTGTTCCCTGGCTTCAGGCAGGTTGGGGGCATCCCTGAGGAAGGTCTCACCCCCTCCAACTGAGGAGAGGATTCGGGGGGGGTGGGCTTTCTGCAGACCCTGAGTCCCCACCGCCCCCCAGCACTGTGACTGGATGAGCCAGCTAGGACCTTCCCAGAGCAGGTTTCAGAGTTAATGCAACACAGAGATGCATGGGACATTACCCCTGCACCGCCACGCTATTGTTTCAGGCTCCCTGCAGACTCAGATGCCGTCATGTCAATTGCGCTAGGGGCATGCGCTTTCATGACCCAGAGCAATACAAGTGGAAGCTAAAGTCCAGCAGCCAGGTCATTAGGCAGGCGTATCAGAATGAGGCCTCCTAAAGTAGTGGAAATACACAACACACCAAGCCCCTGATCGCAAGGCCCATTTACATAGCCCTCTCCTTCCATCAGCTATAAATCCTGGTATGATGCTGCCATCCACCATCTTGCATCTGAATCCACAGAATATAGCATCAACCAAAAGATTCCCAGAGGCCCCACTCCACGACATCAGTTACAAGGTTAAATGGCAAAGGTGAATCTGGCATGAGGCCCCGCTGGGGTAGAAGAGAGCACTCCGCTTTGTGTTTACACTGAGCCTGAACCTTTTGAGAGCCAAGAAATCCTTCTGGGTTTTTTTTTTTTTTTGTTTTTTTTTTTTTTTGGGGGGAGACTCCAGAAGAGCAAGGGATTCATGCATCACAGGCCACTTCATTCCAGGGACCAGTGCTTTTGGCAAGCAGTTTGAGTAGCGCTCATCCCCACCCCTCGGTGCGACAGCCTCTTTCATCCAGGCCTCCCTCAGATACAGAAGCAGTGTGACAAGGGTTAGTGCAAGGGATTGGAAATCAGGGTTCCCAGGTTCTGGTACCAGTTCGCAATGACGTTGTCCACGGTGACACGCGGGTT